TTGTCCACCGATGCCGTCACTCCATCATAAAAGGCCACCAGATTGGTCAAGCATGACCTTCCTCTGGTAAATAAATAAATAAAAATTACTGCAACAATACCCTCTGGGCACTGCTCAGATGCAAAACCGGACGCAAACTCCAGAGTCTCATAAGACAGGGGAGTCAGGTGGAAACAGGACTGATAGGAGTAACTGAGCCAGGAACGACTTGACATGGCCAGCACCGCTTCTTGGCCTTGCATTCGGACTCGGAAGAGCTTCACAGGCCTTGAGCCCAGGTACCTGGTCCTGGTATCAGAAAGATCACCCATAACCGGATCCAGGACAGTTCGCAGCAGCACACCATTCTGCAGTCCAATGTTCAGGTAGAGAAAGCCAATGGAGCCTCTCTCCCCCAGCTCATCCTGCTTCTCGGTGCCACCCATCTCCACGATACACAGCGACTCAGGCTGTGCAGGAAGGGCCTGCATACTCAGCGGCTGCAAGCAGTCCGAAGGGTCGAGGGAAATAATCCTGACAGTGTTGTCCACCAGCCCGACAGTCCCCTTTCAACCACTGGCTATTAAGACAACTGCGATGGCCATCTGATCATAACTGATCTTGATTATGCAATGAGTTTCTCTCTTCCCCTGATCATTTTAATAAACTTTCTCTTTTCTTCTCATATAGATTTATCTCTCTGGAAGAATGATAGCAAGAATTGTAGATAGCATTCCAAGTGCAATTTACTTGTGTTGCTAATTAAAGATCTCTGTTTTTAGTGGGTATCTTGATCAGTAACTCCTAGAAGTCCTGCAGTTTCGCATGGTGGCTTCTCTAGTCATCTATGAACTGATAGATATTTTCTTTTCCTTCCGTGTTGTTTTCAAGGGATGAGAACCCAGACAAGGTAAAACATTTTATCACTGACTCCCTTTCATTCTGTATTTTTACATATACAAATTTCTCCTTACTCTCTCCTCAGTCTTACTCCCTTTCCTTGATGAGATCACACTCCTTTTACAAGCTGCCATCTCTTTCCAATTTGTATCAGGAGCAAATTGTTTTAGTTTTCTTACTTTCTGGGAACAGTTGTTCAGGAAAAAAAAATGATCCAAGACCTGTGCTCCTTTAAGAATTGTGTTGATGCCCTTCTCTCTGCCCCAAAATTGTAAACAAAGCTTAGCATCATGTTTCCTCCCTTTTGCTAGTTTGTTAATCCCATCACTGCTCTTGCACACATTCACAACACAACTAAGATGTTCCCATATCAAATTATGTAAAATCCATACAGGTAAGTTTACTGAGGTTTCTTTTTGAGACAAAAATAGTTATTTCATGAAAGAACACGGTGAACTTAGTCTGGCATGCTCTATATTTGCTAATTCCAGTAGGACTCAATGCTCCTAATCAAAGTTACTGTTAAATTATCTTCTAAACTCTTGTATATTACTGAGGTCAGACTAATGGTCTATTTTTGCCCAAGTCACATTTAAATATGAAAACAAAAAAAAGATTTTTATGTAAATTGCCTTCTCCAGGCACATTTTAAACCACAATTTTTTAAAACATTTTCTGAGTCTAGGACATCTCTCATTATTAACAGATGTGGGTTTTCTAATTATTATTATTTTATTTTAAATACAATACAGGCAATAGGAAATGAAAATAGGCATGAAAAATAATAATTAAAAAATCCAGCAAAAAACTTCAACCAAATATGTTATAATTTCAGAAAACTTGTCTAGATTATTATTGCTCATTATTCACATTACTTAAAAACAAAAAATGTGTTTTAATTATTTTGTCTCGATTATTAAAATGAATTTTGAAATATCAAAATGAAAGCTAAAATAAAATAGTTAATCTTGCTTTTTTGAGGAATTATTAAAGTAAACAGTAATTTTACCTCTGAAGTTTTCTAGATTGAGTTGAATATTGTACATACATATAAACAAAGAAAGTAAATATATTTTTCTATTAGATTTATTTTAACTATGTCCACTCATAAAGTACTCCATATAAGTAAGTGATACTGTTCTTTAGTGACAAATCAATGTTGTGTTACAATTCTGTAGAAAGGTTTGCAAGGTTTGTTAGTTAAGAATTACGTGAAATGGTGTGAATGTAATATTTAAAACTGCCTATGGCTTAGATTTCAGTAAATGTTTATGTGAGAGGAATGTAAAACTTACAGACAACTCTGTAGTTCAAGTACCAGTTTATGGGTTATTTAGCTGGAAAGCACATAGATTCATGTGTTCTGTTTGTGGTGAGAAATTGCAAAGTAGAGTAATATCACACTTCCCTATCACAGGCACTGGAACAAGCTCATTCATGTCTCTACAGACAAGAAATTTGTACCCCTAAACTACCTAGAATGAAATTCCAGAATCTTTATTATTTAAAGACAGTGTAGAGAACTACATGTAAACTCCTGTGTTTATAATAGCACAAATAGAGTAAGTACAAAACTAGGTGCTATACAGGTGCTCCAATGCTATAGGATGAGGACGGTATAGGGTGCAGAAGGGTAAGGACAGAGAAGAGGAAGATTCCCTGCAGCTAAATGTCTACTTCTGAGACAGCCTTTTATCATCAGCTTCATTAGAAAAATTGTTTTACAAATCGCTGTTAGCACTTCTGTGTCCAGCTCAGCAACCTTTCTTCCATAATATTATAATTTATATGCGAAGAAATAATGTGCCTGATTTAATATGCTTATTGGTCCTCATACTAATTAATGCGTACATATGTTTCATCAGCAGTTGAGCTTAGTAACAGTAATTTTCAAAAGGTACAAATTGTATGTTAAAGTAATATTGAACCCTTTTTTTAATGCATTACAACATTCATGTTCTTGCCTGTGTACCTGGGACAGAATTCATGCTTAGAACACAATTCAGTAGTGTTAGCGTGGCAATTTAAATCATGATGCACTTGACAGGGAAACTGAAATCTAATTACTACATATATTGGCCATCTTGGGAATCACTCTTAACAAAGAGCAGGTACTTGCTTTTTTAGAACTCTTCTCAACCACAATAAATGCAATAGAACAGGCATTGATGGAGGAAGTCTGCATCTGCTGTGATTAGACCGATCTGAAATGCCAAGGATTTAAACTGCCACCTTTGTCTGCCAGCAGGTTGCTAGAGACAAAGATTTAAAGAGCTGGAAGGACCCCAATTAAATTGACCAATTTTGTGTAAACTCTTCATGCTATTTTATCTCTTTTCTACAGCGGAACCCAATGAGTTGACGATAGCAGTTTCAGCACTGAGCCAGGACAATGCTTTCATTTGCCTATACCAATAATACCTTTGTAAATTCATCCTGGGGAATAATTTCTTTAAGTGCTGTTTAAATAGGGAATCCTAGCATAAGCGGTATTTATTTTCATTGCTGGTGTTAGTGGCATACAGGTTAAAAGCTGTACTGCTAAGATAAGATGTATTCCTTGTCTCCTAAGCTGCGCTTAAGAATTGTTATTTAAAATGTTGTCTGGTCACCTTACAGTGCTTTTCCAAGAAACATTCCATTTTACTTGGAACTATAATTTAAACTTTCACAAGCCCTATAAAAATATATATAAAATACTGTGAACTTTCACTATACATTTCAAAGTGACAGTGACATCACTTGAGATCATTACTTTGTGTTGCCTGTTCTTCATTTAACTTCAATAATCTGAAGATAGATGAGCATTTTTAACTGGAGCTTTTTGGCTAAAGAGAGCTTTCCTCACTTAAATTTGGAGCTAACAGAAGACTGGGAAGGAAAAAGAGAATGGAGAAAACAGAGATATACAGAGGATATTTTATATAATTCTCTCTCTTTTGTATCATGTCTTTATGTGATGTCTAATTTTTATACACCTAAAATGAGATCAGATTAATCCAAGTTATGAGGTGCCATGCATTAAACTGTAATTTGTTCTCCAGAAGGCAGCAGCCAGGGAAATAATAATGCCAGGGAAATAACGACTCACTCAAATGAAGAGAGTGACTCTTAAGAAGAAAATAAGTGAGGAAAATGGAAAAGCGTAGCACAAGTTAATATGTTTCTCTCAGAAACCTGAAAGTTATGTTAAAAGCTTATAAACAGAAAAAGTAAATTTCACTTTGGCTTAAATTATTCTATGTATATCTTTTGTATCAACTAAGAGGAAGAAAAATAGAAAGAAGAAAAAAGATATATTTTCTTGCATTTAGACTATGACCAGTATATAAAAAAATAAGATCTAAAAATTCATTTTGTTTGGCTAGAGAGAGAATGAAAAAGATTTTTTCTCCATGCACTTGGCCTTCACTGTAATTGAATCCATGTGAAAAAGGTGGGTTGCTATTTACAAGTTTCATTTATATGAAAATGACCACCTGCTATGGTAATGAAAAAGTCAGTATGTTAAAACTTCAGATATCTTTTTATGAGATATTCCTGTAATGATATGAAAAGCGATTTTTTCATATTTTCTGCTTGAAGTTTGAAAAGAATATAAGAATTCCTAACTTAAAACAACATTTTATTAAGAATGGAAAAAAAAAGGAATTGACCTCAGACTCCCATCATCTCCTCAAAACAAAACAAATAAAGTACAATGTGTTTTCAATTACCACTAAAGTAATTCCCCATTTTATAATCAGAGGCTGAAATGCTTTCACACTGCTCCAGATAGAAGAAAAATAGGTATGTTTAGGAAATGTGCCTCACTCCCTATTACTACTTAATTCTATGCAATTATATGAAATCCTTGGTTGAACAGTATTGCTTCAGTTAGTGATCTGTCATAAGTGACAGATCCACATACTTGCATGCAGTGGTATGTACGTTAATGAACTATTTTTCACTGGAGTTACTATATTCCCACGTCCATGGAAATCTGTAGCGGTGGTTCAATAGAAATGGTATAACAAGAACTGCTTTTATTTGATGGAAAGAGGACCAAAGGACTATTCACAAGTATTTTCTTATTCATTAACTTTGTTCATAAACATTCTCTTCTGTTCCATCTACAGAAGACCTGATATGCCAACAATCTGGACAATTTACATAAATCTCGTATGTATACCAGAGCATGTGGCATTCAGAAGCAGAATTTTGAGAAACTTGATTTTTTTTTAAATAGTGAACTAGATCCTCATGACTTGCAAATCAAAGATTACTGGATTCTACATAGAAGGCTAAGCAAGCAAAACAGGTATTTATCACAGCATTTCAGGAAGACCAAACATAGACTTGCTATCAAGTTAGCAATTTCCTGCCTGGAGATGACCATAGCAGCAATGATCCTGAACAAGGAGATTTCAACAGAGAACCAAAACAGTTTTTGAAGATTTAGAGTTGGAGCTTATAGCAGCAAAACAGAATAATTGGCATGTGTTTTGCACATTAGGACTGAATCTCAAGTTATCCGTAAAATAACATTAAAAAGACATGGAAATAG